CAGCCAGCCAGCCAGCCTGCCTGCCAGCCAGCCAGCCAGCCAGCCAACCAACCAACCAAACAACCGAACAACCGAACAACCAAGTATGCTTCCTTCCACTCTCAAAATAAAGCCGCCATTGTGTAGCTGTACCCTTTGCCAGAAGCAAGGAATCCAACACAACAGGGATACAGAATGTGTACCTCCTGGGGACCCTGTACTTCCACAAGCTTTCCTTCCCTATTTGTAATTTAAAAAAACCACACTGGGCAATTTGTCATATATTGAGGCCCCCAGCACATCAGGGGTCTCCACATCCCAATTATATACATTTTAAAGAAAACAGTTTGTCAGCCAATAGTTTATGGTGTTTTTTTTTTACTGAAAATGCTTTAAATTTATCAAATTTAATCTAAGTGATGCAGTGCACCAGCGATGATCTAGCAGAGTTTGTACACTGCTTGAATACTGAGCTACTTGTGAATGTTGGCTGGATGTGGTAAATGGTCTCCTTTAACATGTATGTTTGGGCAAAAATTTTGGTCTGTTAGGCTTGTTGCTTGAGGTCTTTGATCTTTGTGAATTATTCTGTCAGCTGACTTGAAACAATATTGATTTCTCCAAATATTGCAATACATTTTTGGCTTAAAACAAATCAACAAACCAAAAATGTATTCCAATACATTTTTTAAAAAATGTCTTCTTTGAGAGATCGTATGTCTAGAGAGGCATCTTTAAATATATTTACTAAATGCAGGTCTATATACGTGTATAATTGTTGTTGTTTTGACTTCTATACCAGCCATAGCGCTAGAGCACTCTCTGAGAAGTTTACAACATAATTTTGCAAGGGACACTTTACCCCCCATCCCGGCAAGGTGGGTGCACATTTTACCGACCTCAGAAGGCTAGAAGACTGAGTCAAATATATATATATTTCAAAGAAAAGACTTTGTTGGCCATTGGTCTGTGGGCATTTTCAGGGAAAACCCCATTCATAAGAAATTAGTAGAGTCGTAAAAGCAGGTTCAGCCCTCCAATAGCCCCCCGCTTTCCTATGGTTCTGCACCCCAGCCCTAGCCCAACACGGAGGACGGCTTCTTCGAAATCTTGCTGCTGGCTGGAAAGCTCGTATCAATCATTAGTTTCCCAGCCCTCTCCTTAGACCTGAACTCGTGTTTGCTTTCCAGACAGACCATTATTCCTGAGAAATCTGTGCTTAGTTCCCCAAGGCCAGACATAAAACAAAGCACTCTAATCTGCAGGATATACTGTAGCAGGCAAAAACAAACAACCGAAACCTGATATGACAATCAGATGCTTCCCTGAGTTGAAGATTTTCCTTTTCTAATTACATGTTCTCTCTAATGTGTACTCAGCCCTTCTGGGTGGCCTTCCTCAGAACGAAAACCAAGGGTTCAGGAACACCAAACAGCAACCACAAATCTGGGTGATGCAGGCAACTGTATAACACGAAAGACCCCAGACTTTGTCTCTTTTTGTCCACTTTTTTTCAGACTTACAAATAAAAAGCCTTTTCACAGTGAAGTTATGAACCGTAACTTCCAAAAGATCTCCTGGATGGAGAATGAGTGCAGGGAAATCGCCCCAGAGAGAGACCACAGCTGCAATACAAGGAGACCTGCAAGTGGGATCTGAAGGCCCTAGGAATGGACCTCAAGAGATGGGAAACCTTGACCTCTGAGTGTTCAGCCTGGAGGCAGGCGTTGCATCACGGCCTCTCCCAATTTGAAGAGACCCTTGTCCAGCAGGCCAAGGCTAAGAGGCAGTCCCCAAAGCAGCAAAATCAGGGAGCTGGACAGGGGACAGATTGGATGGTCACCCTTGAATTGGCCTTCTCAGCCACACTAGACGTTGTTCCAGGGCCTCTATTCAGAGCATGTTACCATCGTCTCTTGAGACTAAAGGTTTTTTTTAGTTTAGAAAGTTTCCCCCTGCTTTCTTAAGCCACCTGAGCTTCCTCTACTGCCATATCACGGTGTCTGGAGGGGTGTGGCATGTGGAATTAATCACCTCCAGGGCTCTATAGCATGCTTCTTGAGGATGCTTTTCAAACATATTCCTCAAGTAGTGAAATACAGTGGTGCCTTGCTTAACGAGTGCCCCGTTTAACAACGAATCTGCATAGTGATGAGGTTTTTGTGATCGCAAAAGCGATCGCATTGCGATGTTTTAGATGGCCAAAAATCGCTTTGCGATGATCAGTAAGCATTTCGCTTACCTATTTCCGCATAGCGATGTTTTAAAAACAGCTGATCGGCGGTTCCAAAATGGCCACTGGAAAAATGGCCGCCCACAGTGAAAATGGCGGCCGGGCAGTGAAAATGGCGGCCGGATGGAGGATTTCCGCATAGCGGTTAGTTTTTTCCCCATAGGAATGCATTAAACATGTTTTAATGCGTTCCTATGGGTTTTTTTCCCTGCATAGTGATGAATCTGGATAGCGATGATTTTTTTGGCATGGATTATCATCGCTATGTGGGGCACCACTGTACGTCAATCGTAGCATGTGGATTTCTTCGCCAGTGTATCTTGCACTTGGTGTGCTTTGTTTTCTGACTGGTTAAGTACTGGCTAAATCTGCAAACTCTTGCTGCTGGTGCATGCACCTCTGAGGAGATTTTCTTGTGCAAAGGAAATCAAGTTAATTCTGTTTGTGGGAAGGAAAACAAGGTATGTGTCTTCTCTTTAACATCTGTTGGATCCTAAAAAAATAGAGGTTTCCTCTGAAGGGCTGAAGTGGAGCACTGAGTAGAAGCAGACAAAATTACAGATTCGTAATTAGAAATGTAGCTGCCTTGCTAGGTAGAGAGATGTTTGATTATCCTGCAACCAAGTTGCAAATTAACTCTATTTTTTTTAAACTTGGTGATTGGGCACCCCAAGCTTGATTTGCATGTTTACAGTGCAAGCATGAGCACCTTGAAGAATGGCTTCTGAGCGATAATGTCTCATCCTTTTCTAATTGCAAAACACCTCGTCTTGTTTGTCACCCAGTCTTTGCTTAATCCAGAGTGGCAGAGTTCCTAAATAATTTTTAACATTGAATCCTTCAGATGGTTACCGTGTTTGTCTTGGGTTTAGCTGCTACCGCTTATGTCGTGTTAAGCGCGATGTGGCCGGAACAGTGGTCGACCTTGAGCCTCTCCTTTCAGGTAATGAGAAGCGCGCCTATCCTACCGGGGTGTTTTCTGGGGAGGGGGGAAGAAACATAGGAACCATGATACAGTGGTGCCTTGCATTACGATTAATTCGTTCCAGCGAAATCGCTGTAGAACAAAAACTTTGTAATGCGAAATTAAAAAGCCCATAGAAACGCATTAAAACCCGATTAATGCGTTCCTAGGGGCTTGAAATTCACCATCCTCCATAGTGTGGCCATTTTTGTTGCCTGTGCAGTGAGGCATCCATCCCAGAAAACAGCGGGGAACCATGTTTTTTACCCGGCAGCCATTTTGAAAACGCCGATCAGCTAGCCGAAAATCATCGGTTTGCGAGAATCGGTTCCCGAAGCAGGGAACCAATCATCGCAAAGCGAAATTCCCCCATAGGAAACATTGTTTTGCAATTGCTTTTGCGATCGCAAAACCTTCAACATAAAGCGATTTCGTCGTAAAACAGAGCGCTTGTAATGCGAGGTACCACTGTATATAGAAAATGCCACCATCTATCCTTTGGTTGCAGAAACAGAAGGCCTCCTTCCACCTTCCTACTCCTCTAGCATAGGGAAGGCGGCGGGTGGGCATCTTGTTTGGCCAACGCAAAACAAAGCGGGGGGGACGTTTGGTGCTTTGCTTTGCTTTGGCAAAACGGGATCCCCGAACCGAGTCATAAACTGAACCATGAACCATCCATTTTTCTGGTTCGCTGTTCAGTTTCTGCTCATCTCTAGACCCAAGATGATGTTGATGATTAAATTATTAATTTAAAATATTTTTATCCCCCTTTTCTCCTTAAAAAGAACCTAAGGTGGTATTATCTTATATGTTTTTTTAATTTCTGTGCATAGATCAGGTGGCTAATATAGACAGTGCCACTGTTCGGTGGGTTTGTAATTGGTTGAACCTAAAGGGTGCTCACCAATGGCTTCTCTTCATCCTGGAGAGAGGTAACTAGTGAAGTGCCTCAGGGTTCTGTTCTGGGCCCTGTGCTATTCAACATCTTTATCAATGACTTGGATGAAGGAATAGAGAGTATGCTGATTAAATTGGCAGATGATATCAAATTGGGAAAGGGTTGCTAATTCCCCAGAGGACAGGATTAAAATTCAAAATGCCCTTGGCAGATTAGAGTCCTGGACCAAAACTAACAAAATGAATTTCAACAGGGAGAAATGTAAGGTCCTACACCTAGGCAGAAAAAATGAACTGCACATATCTAGGATGGAAGACACCTGGCTAGACAACAGTACCTGTGAAAGGGGTCTAGGAGTCTTGGTGGAGCACAGACTGAACATGAGTCAACAATGTGATGTGGCTGCCAAGAAAGCCAATGACATTCTTGGTTGCATCAATTGGAGTATAGTGTCAAGATCAAGGGAAGTGATACTACGAATTTATTCTGCTTTGGTCTGACCTCACCTGGAGTATTGTGTCCAGTTTTGGACGCCTCAGTTCAAGAAGGATGTTGACAACCTGGAACATGTCCAGAGGAGGACGACCAAAATGATCAAAGGTCTGGAAGCCATGTTCTACGAGGAGCGGCTTAAGGAGTTTAAGAAGGTTGAGAAGGGACAGGATAGCCATGCTTAAATATTTGAAGGATGTCAGGTGGAAAAGGGGGCAGGTTTGTTTTCCACGGCTCCAGAGACTAGGACATGGGGTAATGGTTTCAAACGACAGGAAAAGAGATTTCACCTGAACGTTAGGAAGAACTTCCTGACAATCAGAGCTGTCCAGTGGTGAAAAAGGCTGCCTCGAAGGGTGATGGAGTCTCCTTTTCTGGAGGTTTTTAAGCTTAGCCTGGATGTCTATCTGTCGGGAGTGCTTTGATGGATGTTCCCGCATGGCGGGGGGTTGGACTAGAAGACCTCCTTCCAACCCTATGAAAATTCTATGATGCTATGACTTTCTCATACCTTCCACAGTTGCCCACCCCTCAGGTAGACAAGATTGGGTTAGGGCCATACCTTTCTGTCTTGTTTTCTACGTCAGCCTCCGGAGTCCCCTTATAAATAAAACCAACCAACCAGTAGATCAAAAAAAGCTTCACGAAGTGCCAAAAATTTGACCTTTTCTCATTACATTCAGTTTTTCAGGTGTTGATCCTTGGTTCCTACCTGTCCGTCCTCCTCTTTTTTTACTTTATCCCCCTGGGGCTGAAGTCGCCCTGCATCCGAGAAAAGGGCACGTTGGGTCCCAAGCCAGCCCTGATTGGCCACCGGGGAGCACCAATGGTAGGTGGACCTGGAAAGAGGCGGGGCTGCAGCATGTCTCTGTGCTATACCTGGGTAAGGTGTGACTCTCTGTGGGGTTGTCTTCCTTGAGGTCTGCTGTGCAGCTATCTCCCCAAATTTCTCTCTCTACATCTTTCTCTCTCTTCCCCTGGGGACTACCACTGGTTTTGTGTCCACTCTAGGCCACCATACTCAGTGGTCTCCTTCTTCCTGCTTTTGTACACAACAAGTTGTTGTTTAGTCGTTAAGTTGTGTCTGACTCTTTCTGACCCCATGGACCAGAGCACGCTAGGCCCTCCTGTCTTCCACTGCCTCCCAGAGTTTGTACGACTCTAACACAACAGGTTAGAGTCGTACATATTCTAGCCCCCTCTATGCTTCCGAGGCTAAAATCCTCTTGTAGAGTTACACCAGCTTAACGTGAACAGTGTAACTCTTGGATTAAAAATGCCTCAAGCAATCCAGTTGCTTCAAACTTGTGTCATAAACCTTTTGCCACTCTAGAAGGCTTATACAACTCTCAGAATCCCCAGCCAATGATAAGGGATGAATAGATCGGTTGTCCAAAGCTTCTGGTGTGCCAGATATTCACTATCTCTGCCCTCGACATGGTCCGTTGCACGTTGATGAGTGGCACAGCTCGGTACACAACAAATCATGTCTATTGTGATTTCTGCAATGGAGACAATTTGCTTACAAAGTTAGATGGTTAACCTGATGCCGGCACAGCTACGCAAGATGATTTTGGCCGTGGTTTCTTTGTCAAGCGCATTTTCCTCAAGAATATTGTCTTGAGACATGGATTCAGGTGTGAGAAGAACGCCTTATCTGTCTACTGTGAGAAGAATGCCTTATCTGTCTGGGAAAAGTGAAGCTTCATGCCAGAGGATGGTGGCTCCAAATTCGACGGGTAAAGCTTGTGAACTCCTTTAAGCTTTGAGTCGGAACATTACAGGAACCCACCATGGTGCTGAAACCAAACACGCTGATCAATTCTTACAAAGAATAAAAACCCCACAAGACCGGAACCACCAGCCACGACAGATTCCTACGTTCTTGCAAGATCATAGGTTGAAGAAGGAGAGTCTGTATACGTCTAAAGGAAGAAGTGTGGGTTTTTGATGAACAGACTATTAGGGGTGGGATTTTCTGGACTCTAATTCTCCATTCTAGGAGTTCTACCTACCTTGCAGGCACCTTACAAATACCTGCATGGCATCCCTTGGAGATAAAGATCTAAATTAGAAGATTTAGCTAGGCCTAGCGGCACACAAGCGTTCTACTCCTGCCCCAGTGCTAGCCGGGAGCTTTCTTTCTGAGAAGGAAGCTTGCATGGAGCTTGGCCTGAGAGCTAAGCCTTCAAGTGTTCTGACTGAGGCCTTTCATCCACGTACCTCCCACGCAGGTGTTTGTGAAGTGCCTGCACGGAAGGTAGAATGGCCACCTTTTCCAAGGCCTGCATGTTTTAACAAAGCCAGAATCCTGCTAGTGATGGATGGTTGGAAGTAGTCAAATACACACATGTATTAAAGGATTTAATTATCTATACTAAATATATGATTGGATTGACTGTGTCTGGCTTTGGGCAAGTTTTAAGTAGCTGTTGTGGAAGGGCTCAAGCTGGTTCGATCTTTTCTCTTCCTTCTGGTGTGGTTCCAGCTTGCCCATCCGCCATG